AAAGAGTGTAATGAGAACAGCACTCCAGTTCAGGTCCACTTGAGTTAGACATTCATGACTGCCTTGCGCATTAGATTGTTTCTTGAAAAACGCAATCCAGGTAACAAATCAATTATGGGAATGTGACTTCCTAGGTCATTTTCACCAGAGAAAGGTACAGTTATGTCTCCCTAAAAGGCTACAGTCTAAAGGAAACAGCAGGGTGATAGTGGAGCAACAGGAAATTGTTCAGGCATGGCCAAGGGAAATGCATATCTCGACATTTGGCAGTGTTCTGTTGACTGTGATCTACTGTCTTAGCAGCTGAGCAGGATGACAATGGGTTTGGGATTAAGTTTTCTGTGCCCACATTTAGAGAGGGGACAGTTTTTCTAACCCCTGAAGATGACAGAGACAAAGAGTCAGAAAGAAATTGGCAGGACTTGGCACAATGGATAGGAGCATGGAAGGAGACGAGAGCTTTCAGAGGGATATCCCACATGATAGTAAAGCAGGCCCTTCCTCATGCCCCCTGCAGCAGCTCCCAGCCAGTTCAAAGTAGAAGTCCAAAGAATCTGAGTCTGGCAGGTGGGAGCCACCCAGAGCTGCTTGCCTATGACTCAGGATGAAAATTTCCTGCCAGTAAGCAAAAATAGGTTGAGATGTTGGTTGTTATGGTCATTTGTATTAATCTTCTATTGTTAGTTCTTTCTCTTTCCCACTTCCTCTCTGTCTCTCTCTTTCTTTCTCTCAACACACAAATGATTTAAACTTTTTATTGATTTCACTAAAAGAATCTTCAAGTTCTTTTCTCCATTGCTGTCTTAAGGAGCTTTAAGGTGTGTTGCTGCAGATGATGGAAGGAATTGAGCTCTGGCTATCCAGAGGCCTCTGTCTAGAGGCCTCTCAAGTGTTTTACAAGTCAGAGCCAGCTGTTGGTTGCAAAGGCTTGAATGGGCCAACTTCGGGACTTCTGCACATGAGAAAATGGCTCATTTCTTTCAAACAAAGCAGCACATGCACTGAAGAACAGATATTTTGAAAATTTATCATCCTTAGGTAAGAATTTCAAGTCAGATTCTCTATTCTTAAAAGTGACTCCAGAGGGATTCTTGATTCAAGTATAACCATTGGTCTCTTAAATATCTTCTAGGGCCAGCCAGTGGCATGATGGCTATGACAGCTGGATTCCACATGGCTGTTGTATGGTCTGAATCCTGGACTTGGCAGCTTGAAAAACATGCCAGGCACTTCTGCATGCATGCACAAAATCCTTAAAGGAAGGAGGGATGGAGGAGAAGGTATTGAGACATGACCATTTCCCAAGGGGGAGGGAATGATTTCTCACTTTCTCTCTCCCTCTAGCAAGTTTTCTTAAAGACCTCTAAATCAGGGCTATTCAATTAAAGTATGAAATATATAATGAGTTATACATGTGATTCTAAGTATTCCATCTTCTATATTTTAACAAGTAAAGAGAAGGATAAAAATTAATATTTTTCTCCTCTGCCAGAGGTCTTGTACACTCGCAAGAGAGAGAGAGAGAAAAAAAAAAAAGACAACACCCTATAATGGGTCGTGGTCTTGGTGCAATTCTTCCTCTTCCATCTTGCCATCTCATCAGGATTCTGGGCGTGTATGCATAATTGCCCAGCATGTTTGTCATGCTGCTGGGGTCAGGAATTGAGCCATAGCTGACCATGTGAAATCTGCCTACCTTAACAACTGAGCTAGAGGGCCAGTCCTGGAATTTATTTTAATGTATTTTATTAAGCCAAATATATCTAAAATATTGTTTTAACATGTAACCAACATTTAAAAAATTACCAGTGGAATATTTTAGCTTCTTTTTCCATACTAAATCTATGAAATCTGGTGTGTATTTTACACTTAACGTGTGTCGCAGTTCAGACTAGCCACATTCAAGTGGTCAATAGCCACACATAACTAATGGCTACTATACCATATAGCTCAGATCTAGACCATAAGCCAACTGAGATAGACGGGGCTGAGATAGTGTCTACTCAGCACCCAATTGTGAGGGGGCATGGAAGAAGAAAAGGTGATGAGTGTTGACGTACACTACAGTCAACCCATAAGAAAATGTTACTTGGCTCTCTTTTAGATATACATGCAGAATCCTACCACTTTTCACTACTTTCACTGCTCCCACCTTGGTTTAGGTCACCACTGACTCTCACCATTGTCTCACCACTGTCTTTCACTCGGAACAAGGCTCTCTGTTTCTACTCTTGATCCTATAAACTATCCCCAATGCAGCACCCATAATAATCCCATTAAAGTGCTAGTAAGATTATGCACCTCCTCTCCTTAAAACCTGTCAATGGATGTACATTCTCTCAGACTAAAATCCCAAATTCTTGTAATGGACCATCAGGTGCTATCTGTTCTG